CACGTGGAACTCTTTGCCAGAGGATGTTGTGAAGGCCTAAACTATAACAGTGTTCAAAAAGAACTAGATAAATTCATGGAGGATAGGCCCATCAATGGCTATAGCCAGGATGGGCAGGGATGGTGTCCCTAGTCTCGGTTTGCCAGAAGCTGGGAATGGGCAGCAGGAATGGATCACTTGATGATTACCTGTTCTGTTCATTCCTCCCAAAGCACCTGGCACTGGCCACTGTCGGAAGACAGGATACTGGACTAGATGGACCTTTGGTCCAACCCTGTATGACCGTTATGTTCCTCCTCCTGGTCTGGCAGATGGCCATGGTAGTCAAAGCTAGGAGCAGGCTGACAAGGAGGTCTCACAATTTTGTGGGGCCACAGATGGGGTGTGCAAATACAAAGAGGTGCAGAGAAAAGTGCAGCCAGAATCTCAGCAGGAGGTTCTGGAGGAGCCAGAGAAGGGGCTGCATCCCGACACACTCTGTGTAGCTCTGTGCCAGGGTCTCCCTCACTGCAAAAAGGGCATGTGTCAGGCGACCTGTGATGCACACAAAGCACACTCCAATTGGTGGCTCCTCTGTGGAGCCATGATCTCGGAGATCCCCTGTGGGCCATGGGACTACGGTGGAGAACAGGCTGTCCCATCATGGCTCCTTGCCATCCACCAGTGACAGCAGGTCCTACCAGTTGCTGTCGGAGTGGGACATGAAGGCAAGGAAGTGGATCATACGGAGCACAAGCATGTAGAGATATTCCAGTTTTACAGCAAAACAGTTTATCCTGGTAAAACAGCAGATATCTTTGTGTGTAATTTTTTTTTTCTCTTTTTAGAAAGAGAACAAGCAAAAATTTAAGGCAAACTCACAAAATTTAACATTTTATTCAAAAGCAGGAAAATGATTGTTTTTCTCCAACAGTTTTGCTACAGAGAAATTTTTTTCACAGTCCTGGAGCCACATGAAGTCTTTTTGTGTTTTTAAATTAAAGAGTGACTGAATGTTACCTGTGTGGTGCTGTAATTACATCTGAAGCTGCAGGAAAACTCTGCTAATACTAGCTGAAGCCCTCTTTGGAGAAAAGTTGAATTCATTGACTTTCACATACTCTAACTTATTTAGGCTCACTCTACCAATGTGTAATGGAGTTTAAGTGGTCATAACCCCCACTTTACTTTAACTTCCAATTCCTTGATATGTAAGTTGTACCCTCCTATAACCCTTACACAATGGTAAAGCAGGTCTGAATGTATCTAAGGGAATGTAAGAGGGTTTAGTTTATAGTTGGATGTAACTTACAAATTAAGATGTCATTCAACCTTTAAAGCAAACAATGCTTTCTCTAATCTCAGTGTCACGGTTCTTTATTTCTGATGTAAAACATTTTCCAAAATAAAAGTGGGAATACAAATTGGTGTGGAACAGAGGTAATTTTCAGTGATGTCCTTTGAAACAAGGGACATTTTAGAGTTATAATCCTTTATTTTATTTAAAAAATCATAGAACTTAGCGATCTGTGGGTATATGTTAACAATAGGAAACAAAAGAGAAGTGAACGTTATGCTGGAAAACCCATGCAACAACCCTCACCCCTCTGCAGCAGGGATTCATTTTATAAGGACCTCCTCTCAGCTTCCCCATATTGGTCTTGCAGGGATGCCAGGAGAGTAAGAGAAGAGAGTCTGGTTTGCTCCCACCCCATAGAACAAACCATGTGGAACTCTGTGATTCCCCAGAGAAGACCCTTGTGGCCTCTGTCCCTTTGCACAGCTCCACTGGAGTGCTAGTACAAGAGAGTCACAGGCAAAGCTCCCTCTGCTGCCCCATAAAGAGGGCCTTGTGACAAAGATAATACACCTCTAAGTGCTATGCTATATTGTCTTTTCCTGAGAGGCAGCTGAGCCTCTCCTCTGTGTAGGAGCAGTGAGCCCACATGCAGAGGGTCCCATCCACATGCTGGTCTGGCTGGCATGATCCAACTGGATGATCATTTGCAATATTTAGCATATATGATATTGTTTCCAGAACACTAAACTGTTTTTCCCTTATTAGGAAACAGAATTGATATTTCTTTTTCTGTAAAACTTAGTTTCTATGATATAAAAATCAACCCTAAGTCAACTCTGGTAAAGCAATGAATATCAAGCTAAGACTGTTTAATATCAGGTGGCTCATTATTACCATAGACAACTGAAAAAACATCTGAATAAATAAGAAAGTCCATTATAATGAGCACTAAATGCAACATGGTTTTTAAAAATATAGTATTTGGCTCTTCATAGCTGGGGCTGGAAGAATCATTTTAACATACGTTTGTACCCTCCTGAGGTGAGCACACTGATTTATTTTATGACAAATCAAGCCTCGTGCTGGGGTATGAATGAAGGATTTATAAGATTTTGGCCTTTAAAAGTGGCTATCATAAAAGAGAGAGGCTAAAAGGGAGAACATGAAAGTTTGCAGTAAGGGAGGTAGAGAATCATGCTGGCCAGTGAACTCATACAGCCAGATTAACTACTCATACACATAGGTACAACTCTATTAACTTCAGTGGAGTTGCATTCACTTAGGCCAGAAGTTAATCTTACCCTTCAACAAAAGATTGTGCAAAAAAGTGCTTACTAGTGTTCATAGTAAGGATCTGAAGTCCTCACTCAGGCAAACTCCTATTAAAGTCAATGGGAGTTTGCCCAAGTATGGACCCACTGACACTTACAGTTAAATCTTATCTGAGAGCATTTTGTTCCAAGTGTGAATACCATGAACTAATGCACTGCAAAGGCATGAAAAGTATTCACTGTACATAGTTGCTTCTTTTGCTCTTTTTTAAATAGAGGGACATTTTTACTGCACTCAATCTTTTCAGGAAGCTATAGGTACAACTTCACTATCTTCTTATCCATTTCGCTCCTGCTCTACTGTTATATAGTAATACCTAGAGATCCCACTCATTATATTTGGCACTATACAGTCACATAAGGGACAGTCTGTGCACCCAGAGTCTTTATAGTCTAAATAAACAGTATCAGGATGACTTGAGTCTTGTGGCATTCCATGCAGGTTTGCCATTAGATTGACAGAGGCACAAGTCTCCTGTCCTCCATTCTCCTGAATTTTGAGATATTTTGAAGAAAACACAGCCCAATACATTATAAATTCTGCAAGGACCTTTTCTGATCTCTAAAGTGCTTAAAATGTGGGATTTTCCCCCTCATGGTCTTTCTCAAATAATACACCAACATCCAAAGACTTGTAGTACCCTGTCTAAACTATCTTTTAGCATCTTTAGAGCTGTAAGACAAGTGAAGATAGTTGGATGACTCATTGTGTGAATCCTGTACATCAGACTCTGAAAACTTGTTTGAAAATAATAGGAATGTTTTTGAAGGTGTTTTGCCAAAGGTCTGTACACCATGGAGGTGTGATATTGGGAACCATACATTTTTAACATGAATCTCTATTCCAGAAGGTAATTTCACTTCATTATCATGTTGCTAGTCCTACACTTTGGCAAATGGCAATTGCATTCATTAAGACAATGATAAGGAGATGATTGATTCATCCCTTAGAATACATTCTGTAGGAAAAGTTAATTAAACCACTTTCAGGCTTAATTATAGCCAAGTATTACAACCTTTACAATTTAATATCCACATTTTTTTTAAATACCTTTTACTGGGCTTGTAGAGATAGCTCATTTATGAATGTGTCCTTAGCATTAATTGCCTTACAGATGCCAACTCCCCAGATGTTTCGTTGTTTCAAAATAATTCTCTCAAGTGGTAGTTTTCAGACGTTGCTGCTAGCACAGTCTTTCTCCAGCTCTTCTCATCTAAAATGATTTAGACTTCATCTACACTGGAACCTGAACGACAAAAGGTTTGCCATTCAGAGGTGTGAAAAAAACACACCTCCAAATGACAAAAAGTTTTGCCAGCAAAATGCGTCGGTGTGAACAGCGCTTTGTCAGCAGGAGAGCTCTCTCCTGCCGACAAACAGCTGCTGCACTGTGCGCATTTTAGCGGCACAGCTGTGTCACTAAAAGGTGTGCAGTGTAGACATAGCCTTAGATTCTACCTCTGCATGCATGACTGGGTCTCTGTTTTGCTCACTGAACAAAATTGCTCCTAATGCACAAATCAAACAATAGCATTGCCAATTATTGTGAATATTGGCTATATTCAACATAGCAACAATGTCTGATCAACTATTCAAAATATATGGCAATAAAATTAGGGATTAGCATGAAGGGTTTGAGATTTCCCAGGCTTTTGAGAGCATTCCAGCTAATTCGTGCTCAATTTAGATTCAGTCATGTGCCTTATATGTAGAGGGAAAGTCTTAGTGTTACTGCCACTTCTAGTGAAACTTAGATTTTTGTCCAGTTTTACCACAACTCTCAGCCTTCTAGCCATCTGCATACCCTCTGCCCTCTTACTCTATGAAGTTATTGGGCCCATCTCTGCCTGTGGTTGGGCTGAATGTTTTTTTCTCAATGAACTGGGCTGGTTTCTGTGTTATAGGATGTAAACTGGGATTCCATTATCCAGTGGCTCTCAATCTTTTCCTTACCAGGACCCCACTCCATAACGAGGATCTAGCCAAGAACTCCATCTCATTTAGCAATATAGTCAGAGGGTGGCCATAATTCCCAAATAGAGAACCCATGGCATAATCCACTGTGAAGTAGCATAGCAAAGACAATAAGAAAGCAGTCAACAAAAAGAGGTTCATTAGGGTACAGACCCAGCACAAGTGGGCCAGAAAGCAGCAGAGAATGTGGCAGGGAGGTTACAGAAGCCCTGAAGTCCAACCATGGTAGCCAGGGCTCAAAGATAGTGGATAGAGAGCACATAGAACACAGGAAGTACAGGGGCAGAGAGAGGGAAGGAAAGGAAGGTTGCATGCCCTGTTCAACAGAGAGAAAGTGTGATGCATTTTTTGATGGAAAATAAATGCTAGAAACAATGAGCAAGCAGGCACACAGATGTACCTCTGCAGTACATACCAGATAGAAGGCTCTGTTCTAACCTCTTCAGGTCCTTATAATCATTCCCAATTGCCATTGTCTCTTCATCTGTGCACTCCAGTCACTGCCCATGTGGCTGCTTTTTCCAGAGCCAGCTCAGGTTTATCTGCTGAAGTTGTTTACGGCTCATTTACCAGCTGGTTTGAATGTATCTGATTTTAGGCTCTTACTGAGGGATGAAAGACATAAAAGAGGGTGTCTTGAAAGTGTGTTGGCAACTATCAAACTCTGCAACATGTTTCTCCAGGCCCAATTTGCTACTCACTCCATGTGCTGAAAAGAGCCTTTATATAGGGTGGTTTGTTTGTTTTTTAAGTCACGCAACTGACAGATTTACAGCCGTTCTTTACTTTTTTGCCTAACTCGGTAGTTCTCAGCACCAAATGTAATTCACAAATTTAGGATGTAGAAAACAGTTTAAATAGTGAGTCCCAACTGACAGACTGCAGTAATGTCTTAGCCAGAAACAGCCCTTCTGGAAAACAGTATTTCAGAGCAAATTGCCTTCTTTTTTAGCAGGGGCATCTCATTTTTTCCATCCTTAAAAGTGAAGTTCCAAAAATGCACAATCTACCAATTAGTAAGCAGATATAGGGCTGAAAGCACAACTTTCACTGTCCTCCCTCATGTTCCACATCACATTGAATCTCCTTGTTCTCACCTTTAAGGCTCCACCCAACTCTGCTCCTACCTTACCTCTGTTCTCATTTCCTCTTGCACACCTTTCTGCTCTTCAAACTCAAAATATTTTGTCTGACTACCCTTTAGTCTTCTCCTCGTCTTATTCTAGACCTTTTGTACCTTATCTTCACACTGCCCCCTCTGCTGGAAGTCTCTTCCTGTATTTTTATTCCCTTCACTTCACATTCAGATGCCTCTTAACACATTTATATTTGTATTACCGTAGTGCCTAGGAACCCCAGTCATGGGCCTCGACCCCATTGTCCTAGGTGCTGTACAAACACAGAATAAAATTTCGGTCCCTGCACCAAAGAGCTTACTATCTAAATACAAAACTAGAGACAACAGATGGCTGCAGAAAGGCCAACAGGGAAGTAAAAGGAAACAATGAGGCAATATTAGTTGGCATGATAGGCTATGGTCCTAGCCTATCATGAAATCTTATATCTTATATCCCACCAAGAACTAATGAATGTGACAGTATGAAGGTTTGACTTTTGACCCATATCTCATCTTTAAAAAAAAAAGATATTTACAATATTTGAACTATGTGGAAAAATTCTCTGCTCCTTTTCCAACTCTAATGAATCTTTTTTGAGACGGGTTGACCAGAACTGCATGCAATATTCAAGGTGTGGGTGTGCCATGGATTTATATAGTGGGATTATGATATTTTCAGTTTTCTTATGTATCCCTTTCCTAATGGTTTCTAACATTCTGTTATTTTTGACTGCTGCTGCACACTGAGTGGATGTTTTCAGAGAACTATCCACAGTGACTCCAAGATCTCTTTCTTGAGTGGTAACAGCTCATTTAGACCCCATCATTTTGTATGTACAGTTGGGATTATTTATTCTAATGGGCAATACTTTGCACCTATCAACATTGAATTTCATCTGCTAGTTTGTTGTCCAGTCACCCAGTTTTGGGAGATGCCTTTGTAACTCTTCCATAGTCAGCTTTGGGCTTAGCTATTCTGAGTAGTTTTGTATCATATGAAAACTTTGTATCATATGCAAACCTCACTGCTCATCCCCTTTTCCAGATCATTTATGAATATGTTGAATAGTACTGGTCCCAGTACAGATCCTTGAGAGATCCCACTATTTATCTCTCTCCATTGTGAAAACAAAAACATTGTGACCCTTTGTTTCCTATCTTTTAATGAGTTACTAATCTATAAGAGGACCTTCCCTGTTATCCATGACTGCTTAGTTTGCTTAAGAGCCTTTGGTGAGGGAACTTGTCAGAGGCTTTCTGAAAGTCCAAGTACACTATATCAACAGGATCATCCTTGTCCACATGCTTGTTGACGCCCCCAAAGAATTCCAATAGATTGGTGAGACAAGATTTCCCTCTACAAAAGCCATGTTAACTCTTCTCCAACATTTCATGTTTATCTATATTTCTGATTATTTTATTTTTTACTATAGTTTCAGTCAATTTGCCTGGTACTCAAGATAGGTTTTCCAGATTGAAATTGCCAGGATTTCACCTTTGGAGCCTTTTTAAAAATCAGCTTCAACCCCTCAGACAGAGACAAACACCTACAAGATCTCTATCAAGCATTCTTACAATGACAATACCCACCTGCTGAAGTGAAGAAACAGATTGACAGAACCAGAAGAGTACCCAGAAGTCACCTACTACAGGACAGGTACAACAAAGAAAATAACAGAACACCACTAGCCATCACTTTCAGCCCCCGGCTAAAACCTCTCCAACGCATCATCAAGGCTCTACAACCTATCCTGAAGAACGACCCATCACTCTCACAGATCTTGGGAGACAGGCCAGTCCTTGCTTACAGACAGCCCCCCAACCTGAAGCAAATACTTACCAGCAACCACATACCACACAACAGAACCACTAACCCAGGAACCTATCCTTGCAACAAAGCCCGTTGCCAACTGTGTTCACATATCTATTCAGGGGACACCATCATAGGGCCTAATCACATCAGCCACACTATCAGAGGCTCGTTCACCTGCACAGCTACCAATGTGATATATGCCATCATGTGCCAGCAATGCCCCCCTGCCATGTACATTGGGCAAACCGGACAGTCTCTACGTAAAAGAATAAATGGACACAAATCAGATGTCAAGAATTATAACATTCAAAAACCAGTTGGAGAACACTTCAATCTTTCTGGTCACTGGATTACAGATCTAAAAGTGGCAATTCTTCAACAAACAAACTTCAAAAACAGACTCCAATGAGAGACTGCTGAATTGGAATTAATTTGCAAACTGGATACAATTAACTTAGGCTTGAATAAAGACTGGGAGTGGATGTGTCATTACACAAAGTAAAACTATTTCCCCACTGCATTTTCCACCGAATGCATCCGATGAAGTGAGCTGTAGCTCACGAAAGCTTATGCTCAAATAAATTTGTTAGTCTCTAAGGTGCCACAAGTACTCCTTTTCTTTTTGCGGATACAGACACTCTGCTGCTGGACTATTGCCTGCATTATTTTCACTCTTGCAGGGAGGGTGGTGGGGAGTTGGGGGAAAGCAGGCTATTGGCCTAAGTTTAGAGTATGTTTGTTAGGTGTATCTGCCTCTCACACGCTCTGTCTAAACTCCCTTGCAAAACTCCCCCTGTACATTAGTTCCTCTGGTCACTTAAGAGCTGGCTTTTTAAATCTCTGATCTCCGTGAATTAGGCCTACGTTCTTGTCAATGGATCCTAAGGGGGTTAGGGATCAAAGGATGGCAGATAAGGCCTCATTAATAAGCTCTCAGCCTAGCCTAGCAGGTTGCTTGGCTCAGCACACAGCTCCCAGAACAGATCACACCATGGGCAGTGGGTATCAAAGGCAGGGGGAGGCTGTGCCTCCCCAAACAACCTTGCATGGCCACACCCACACTCTGCCCCCAGACTCCTTCCTGCTTCCCGCGCTCTGCTGTGGGGGGCTCTTCTCCCCACCTCCCACCCCCTGTGGCCATGGCCCCAGGCTGGGGATGGGGGGCAAAAGGGGGCTAGCCTGTGCTCCGGGGCGGGGGTGGGAGGCCACACTGCCTGCCTGGTGTGCTGGAGTGGGCTGTGCTGCACGTTCTCCCAGAACTCTGGGGCTGGGGGGGTGGGACACCGTGCCACCTGCCCAGGGCTTGTGGGGAGGCCTCGCCACCCGCCCTGCTCCAGGGTTGAGGGGCAGGGAGCATGCCACCCACTCACCCACTGGGCACTCCGGGGAATGTGGGGGGGGGGCACCGGCTGCTCTCCCGCCCAGTACTCTGGAGTTGGGGGCAGTCAGGTGGCTTGGGGGTGGGGGGGGCTGGCTGCCAGGCCGAGGGGGTATCTGACCTCCTGTGGGAGGGGGAAGGGAGGGGCCTCAGGCAGAAGGGGTGGTCCAGGCCAGGGGCTAGCCTCCCCAAGACCGGAGTTCACCAGCCACCTATGGACCACACTGTAATCTTTAATCAAGCAAGAACAGAAACAGACTAACAGGTAACAAACTCACCCCGAGGGTCATGTAGTCACTCCTCCTTTGGCTGGAGAACTCCCTCGCAGAACTCCCCTCTTTACTGATCCTGTTTGTTAGCATGACCAGACTACAATTCTATAACTACACTGAACAAGAGAAAAGTGATAGGTAAATTGAAAAGATTTTTCTCATGCACAATATAAAAATACAATTGAAATCAGTGTTTTCAGCCCATTTATATACAGTATTTCTTTACCTAAGCACAATATACATAAAAATTTACAATGACTAAATGCCTCTAAAAAGAAGAAATCATGTGGCATATATTTCAGATGTTTCAGAGTAACAGCCGTGTTAGTCTGTATTTGCAAAAAGAAAAGGAGTACTTGTGGCACCTAACTATGGAATATTCTTATTTAAATACATCCCCAAAACTTGCTGGCATCAACTGAAAATGAATCAGGTGCTGAGATTACAACTTGGCTAATCCTGATGATCCACAAACGCCACAATGAGGGATTTAAAATATGGATACTCTAAGGAAATTCATTGGACCTAGTTGGGCATACTTTGAATTACCTGTTTAGTTGATTAGCAATGGCTCCAAAGCCAGCCACCATAAAAAGTTTCTCAGTAAATTGTTTTTAAAATCTAGAGCAGTTTGTAGGTATTATGACTCCTTTATGCTCTACACAAGATTTTCTTTGTTTAGTAGCCTGCATGTTATTTGTATCCTTTCACATTTCAGTCAGGTTTTATGTGTGTTACTATTCTATTATCAGGTCATGCTGATACTTTAAAAGTCTGCTGGCCCCCCTTTGAAACCATTGCCAAATCAACAACTATGAACAAAATCACAGTAGAACACTGCATCACAAATGAAATCAACATACAGTAGAAGCAACTTAAAGTGTATTAACTGAGCCAGTCCTGATGTTTGCACCCTATCTGATATCTCTTAAGAAGATAGCTCTGTCTGTGACTCCCCTGAAGCTCACAATACCCTTTTTCTCCTTGCAATCACATCTGAAAGTTCGACGGGATTACTCCTGTTTAAAGTTAAGCACATGCATACATATTTGCAGGATCACTGCCTTAATCCCGGAACTCTTTCTCCCGTTACTTCTTCCGCTCCATCCTATATTGTTTTAGGAAGGGAAAGAGCTTCTTCTGCACTAATTAGAGATGGGCCTACGTTGCAAAGGGCATGACCAGGTCCAAATCCCGTTTTATTGAGAAATGTTCAGATCTGCCAGGTATCACTCATAAAAATAGGATACGGATCATGATCAAAGCTTCAGGGATTTTCAGACGTGGGGTTTGGATGTGAGCCTCCCTCTAGTATTAGTCCCTGTATTTTTATACCTACCCAATAAAAAGTGGGAGGGCACATGTGTGTGAACAGATGTGTTTTAACCTGTTCCAGTTGTACTGTAAGCTCTTTGAGGCAGGGAGCATCTTTTTAATATGTCTGTTTGTAGTGCCTATCATAATGAGGTCCTGATCCATGGGTGGAGCTTCTAAATGCTAATACCTTAATACAAAACAGTGACTCTCTCATTTAAAGTATGAAAACCTTTGGCTACCATAATACCTAAAAATGCAATATAACAACACCTAAAAATCAATGTGTGCCTGTCTCTATTATTCTCTAGAATATTTGAAAGAGATATGATGCTTAACTGATGCACAGTGTCTAGGTAATTAAAAGAATATTTGAGAGAAAGGAAAATTCTTTTAAAAAAAAAAACACACACACCAAATTCCAATTCTCACTGAAATAAATGTTGAATGGACTCTGCATCTGGGAACAGACAGGAAATGCATGTTTCTAGCAGTCACAACTATGAAAATAACTTGCAAATTTGTGACATCATGATTACTGCTCCCACTAATTATTTCCACACTTAGGAAAATATCAGAATTTATAGGAGCCTTTCAAGATATGGAAAATATCCCACAAGTGAGACAACTATAATTCATGAGAGGTAGAACCCAGAATGAATTATTAAGGTCATTCCTTCAAGAATGAATGTAAACATTTTCCACATCTCACTATACTATGTATGCTGTGTATATACTAAATGCCTGTATTCATGGGGTCTGCCTATACGTAATAGTTATCCTATCTATTTTAGGAATTTCTATGGCACATGTCACTATGGTATCTAAGCACCAATACTGTTTATGTAATTTTAAATAAATAAAAGAAATCCAGTTACTACTCATTCTCTTTATTTGAAATGCAATATGAAGGTGTTAGATTCTAGTAGAAAACATAAAATGAATATCAGGAATTGATACAAACGTTAGATGATAGCTAATTCTCAATGTTTAGATGATTAAAAAGGGAATTACAGAATGTATGACATCAAGAGCACACATCAACCTTACTTTTGCCTGAAGACCCAGTGTAATGGGGATTCCATGCAAGAGTAAGGGTTGTCCTTGGCTTATCTGTTTGCAACATAGGGACGTTAGAGCTTTCCAGGGCCAGGAATGACTCTTTCTTTGATTGGTACAGTGCTGAACACATTGTTGGTGCTTAGCAAGCAATAAAATTATATTTTATTCAATACAAACAAAGACCAGGAGATCCAATCTCAAAATAGTGCAGATTTCTAAAAAAAATTATATTGCTTTGGTGTATTCTCACTGAAAGGCTTAAAAACGTGTATCTTAGGGATGTTGGTCTGCTGGCACAAAGGAAGCGGGAGTCTATTCCAATCTGAGGGGCAGCACGGAAGATGGTGCTTATTCATCTCGGAGATACCCAGACAGTAGGGAAATGCCTAGATAGACAGCACAAGCATGGGCACCAATTCCATGGGTGCTCTGGGGCTTAAGCACCCACAGAAAAGAATATGGGGTGCTCAGCACTCCTCAGCCACAGATGTTGGGAGGGCTGGGGCTGGCCGCCGACCAGCTGTTTGGCAGCTGGTGGTAAGGACTGGAGGGTAGAGATGAGCCAGCAGTGGAATGAAGGAGGCAGGGTCTTGGGAAAGGGAGCAGAAAGAGGCAAAGTGAGGAGCCTTGCAGGAAGGGGTAGTGTGGGAGCAGGGCCTTGGGTGGAGGAGGGATGGAGCACCTACCGGGAAAAAGAAAAGTCAGCGCCTTTGGGCACAAAGACAAGAGATAGAATGATCCGAAAGGAATAGTTAGGCGGGAAGCTTGAGAAAGGCCAAAGGAGTGAGGAAGAAATAAAAATTCACAGTATTTGACAACTAACTCCAGCCGTGCAGCGGGGCTTAGGCAGACTGCCTACCTGCCCTGGCTCCACGCAGCTCCCGGAAGCGGCCAGCATGTCCAGCTCCTAGGCTCAGGGGCGGCCAGGCAGCTGTGCACACTGCCCCTGCCTGCAGTTGCTGCCTCCCACAACTCTCATTGGCTGCAGTTCCCGGCCAATGGGAGCTGCAGAGCTGGCACTCGTGGTGGGGGCAGCATGCAGAGACCCCCTGGCTGACCCTGCACTTAGGAGCCAGACATGATGGCCACTTCTGGGAACCCACCCAAGGGAAATGCCGCCCAGCCAAAGCCTGCCCACCCCACCTCCCATATGCCAACCCCTGCCCCAGCCCTGAGTCCCCTCCCACACCCAAAACTCCCTCCCAGAGCCTGTACCCCAAACCCCCTCCTGCACCCCAAACCCCTGCCCCAGGCTCAGCCCAGAGCCCCCTCCACACTCTGAATACCTCAGCCCCACCCCCACCCCCCAAACTCCAACCCCCTGCCCTAACCCGGTGTAAGTGAATGAGGGTGGGGGAGACGGAGCAATGGAGAAAGGTGAATGGAGTGGGGGGCAGGGCCTTGGAGAAGGGATGGGGCAGGGGTGGGGCCTCGGGGAATGGGCAGGGCAGGGACGGGGCAAGGGTGTTTGGGTTTGTGTGGTTAGACAGTCAGCAACCCTATCCTGCATGCTGGACTGTGTACACATGAGGGAAAAAGTTCCTTATGGCTTTTCCATTCATGTTCCCTATGGTGCAGGTGTGCAGATGACTTCTTTGTCACGTTACCCTGTGCCAGCCCAGTGCTGTCTTGCTCCCTGAAAATCATTCCATATAGATCCTAAGTCAGTCAAATTACTTCCCCATATTACTGGTGCCTTATGAGGGGATGCGGGGAGTTGGTAAAATTTTATACAGAAAAAAAAGATTGAAAAATATCTTCAAACAGTTCCCTGTCAATACACAACATGATCTACCTTTTATGACCCATTAACTCTTGGACTAGTGTAATATGCCAATCTATTAGTCAAATGAATGCGGTACACATACACAGATGCATCCAGAGCAAACACAGGGTTAAAATTAAGAAAACCTGGGAGCAAAGCTGAAAGAAAGGTCTATTTTGAAGGGGGTAGTGGTGTTGAGGAGAGGAAACCCAGACTGGATTTTAGTTCACATTTTTTTCTATAAAATCCAAAACCTCCAGACTTGTAAAAATCATGTCCCTGTGGTAACAGCAGCTTTGTGGATTTTCCAGACAATAGGGCATCAGAAAGAGTCACCTGATCCACCTTTAAGACCTGGTGAGAACTGTGGAATATAATGGGCTGAAAAACACCTGAAACTGCTGGCATCAGGAACACTTCCTGTCTAATTCTCTTGGACAACAGACACAAAGCCTGCCCTGTAATTACATCCTACCCTGATCTACATTTGCAGTCATGTAATTAATACTTCCTCTGTAAAGCAATGGAATAATTTAGAGAGCAGATATTTCAGTCTTAGTCTGGGAAAAGTCAGAGAGAGCCCTGCATGTACATTTTAGCTACAGGGAAGTGCTTTTCTGGTTCCATTTGCTCACAGTAACTGTAATTAGATGCTTAGAGCTCTCTTTGTGCTAGGAGAAGAAAATGATACTTCCTTCCTGTTTAAAAGCCACGGGTGGGGGGAGGGGGAGAGATGAGGGGAGCCTATACTTATTCAGTAAGGTTTGTGAAAGTGATAAATGTAGATGGCTAGGCAGGCAGAGCCAGCACAGTAAGTGATGTGAGGTGCCATGCACAGGGGAACATTTAGCTTACTGTTGTGGAGGTAAAATACTCTACCTCTAGTAAATCTGTATTGACTTCTCTGCTCACATAATGAGCCCCATCCTGCATGGCATCAGTCTGCTAAAGTCAATGGGAGTTCTGCATGTGAAG